CATTTCCTATGAATCTGCTGCTTTACAACCCAGAGGCTGCAAATACAGATAGAAGAAAAAATCCCAGCCTGTACCCACCACCCCCTCCAGTTTAATTACTGTTTCAGTTCTCCCCTGCAGTGCTGTGCGTTCCCGGGGAGCACACGGGAAATCCTCCGTGCGCTGCAATCATACAAACACTTTTTTTTTTTTTCTTAAAGCTTGGAAGGGAATGAAAAGAAATCCAATTCAGGTTGGGTTTTGCTAAGGCAGAGAGGAGGCTGCATCAGGGAAAGCCCAGTCCTTTAGCAAGTGCAGAAAAAACCCTTTTCCCACCCTGCCCAGATGCCCTTCTGTGTACCTGGTGTTCCGTTTTCCCTCTGAATAAAGTTAAGGAAGAAAAAAAAGAAGATGATTTTTCCTAAAGGTGGCTGTGATGGGTGAGAATGTGAGAACAAAGGATGCATTGGGCTGTAGGCATCAGGGCGAGGGGCCTCGATATCCCCCAGGGCTTGGTCCTGGTGGGGAAGGGATTGCACCTGCATGGATTTGGAGGAGCTTTTCTGGTACAAGCAGAGCATGGATTGCAGTGGGGTGAAATAAGTGGGCAACCCTGCACTAAAATTTCTCCTTGTCTCTTCTGCCCATCTCCCAGCTGCAGATATTTGCATTTATGATAAAGTTTGTGGGGTTTGTAGCTCAGCGTGGCATTGCCCAGTCTGTTGTGCTGGCCTCAAAGCGCGGTGTGTGGCTGTAATCAGTGCAGGGAGATGGTGTTTGCTCCTCGCTTCGCCTTCCTCCCGGGCAAGCTGTCCTTGACCGCACATATATAAACACACATTAGGACCCAAACCTGTTGTATTTCTTATTTTTTGGCTAGCTTTGTGTGATGAGGGGCAGTCATGATGTGCTGCCTGGACACGTACAAACCCGTGTCTTGAAAGTGCGAAATCGCTAGGGAGGGGAGCGATCCCCATCGAGCCTTTAATGCCACTTCATCACCTTAGAGGACCTCTGTTGCCCCACGGCATGGAAAGGAAAGGCTGAATCTCGAAAGCCTGGCAGGTTCTGGTGTTGCAGGGTCATCAGCTCTTTTGCTTACAGCTGTTGAGCATTTGAGAGTATTTCTTGAAGATGGGGCCTGCTTATATGTAGTGGTGAGACTTGCATTGCTGGAGGCTATGGGAGGACTGTGAGTGATGGATCTGGTTTCCCGTTTGTCCTTCAGAATTTAATGCTAAAGACATTTAATAAAGCTGGAAAGATCATCTCCTCTTGCTGTGTATAATCTGCTGGTGGAATATGGCCCCCAGGCAGGTAAAAACTCAGCCACCCCCAGAGTGAAGGATGTTTCCAGGACAACACCTGTGTACCGAAGAGGTCAGGAAGAGATTAAATCTGTTGCCCACCTTGGTACATTACACTGGAGAGAGGTTAGGTTTGTTTTTTCCCTTCCTCATAAGCATTAATACATGAATACTGCTAGTAGGGTCAATTGGTTTCCTTGGCAATAGCAGCTACCGGCGATGCGCTCCCCATTAATGGAACATGGGGGCCTTTGTGTTTCTGAGGACACAAGTGGTCCCTGCATGAGCTCAGGAGCCACCTCCTCTCCCACAGCTGAAGCGAGATGTGCTGAACCATAGGAAAGCCCTGAAATGTTTGTGTCCGAGTGCAAAGTCGGTCTGAGTGTGATAACCCAGGGTGGCTTCATTGCCTGGGGCAGCCCTTTCACTGGCTCAGGCGCTGCTGCCTCCCCTTAGTCCCTTGGGTCACCTTTTTGCCTCTCCTCCATGGCAGTTTTGGGCAGGCATTTGCAGTCTTCAGCTCCTCTCCAAAGGGCTGGTGAGCAGCAAGCCAACTTTTGGCCAAAGTGGTTTTGAGCTTCTTGATGTCCTCAGCGGTGCTTTCTGTGGCTTTTTGGCTTTCCAGCCCACTCCCTGCTTGGAGGTGACCATCCCCAGCCTTCTTGCCTGTTCCCAACCCCTCCAGGAATGTAACCCTCATTTTAAAGAAATAATCACCTTCAAAAACCAAATGGGACTTGTGCAAACTCTTCTGAGATAACCCAGCTGGAACGAGCCGTCTGGAGCACTCCATCAGTCCTTTCATGCCTCCCTCATTCCTCGCCTACGGTTTTGATTCCCCTTGGTGTGGGCTCTTCAATCTGCACAGAATGATTTCCAATTACATTTTTGTTGCTGAAGGCATAAATCTTCTCCCACAGACTGTGTTCTTTCATGCACAGGCAGAGCTGTGTGGTGCTGGTGGAGATAACTAACCAGAGCGGGCTTGGGTGGTTTATGGACTTTTTTATTTTATGGTGGATATTTCCTCCCCCCTTTGACAACAAATGTCCTCAATCAACTTTAATATTCTAACTGCAGTGATTTTCAGTACTCAAATCCTTCTTCTAGGGCCATTTAAATCTTCTGACGAGAACAAGTAGCCCAGTGTAGCCCAGGGAACATTGATGATTATGTACGGAGTGAGCTCCAAGCTTGTTTTGATGCTGATGGGCTGGGAAGGGAAGCAATCTTATGCTACTTTCTTAAAAAAACCACAACCCTGTGCTTACTGAGCCCACAGGATCATCGTCATCCTGAAGTGCAATAAATGGCTAATTGGCCTAATCCAGGCTGCGAGGAGGAGACTGATTAGTTAAAGCTCTCTTGTTTTTATAGCTGAGTACCAGTCTCTACTAGAGCTGGGTTTTTTTTTCTTTTCCTATAAAAGTCAGTATTTTGGTGCAAGCTTCAGCATGCACAAATGTTTAGAGAAAAGGCCCTTTCTAGATGTTTCCCTTTCTCAGAAGGGCTAAATCCTCGCTGGACACAGAGATACTGGCACAGCCTGTCTGTACCAGTGGAGCAGAACTAGCTCAAGCGGTGCAACCTCTGCACGGGGCGAAGGGCTGAGGGACGTGGGGTCTTTCTCCGGAGGCTCGTCCTTTGCAGCACGGCTCCGGGTGATCACGTGAGGGACCCAACTGCAGCATCGCACAGTGGAGGGGGATGGCTGGGACGAGGTGCTCCCAATTTGCAGCACTGGGCGCAGAGCCTTGCATATAGCCCTCTGTGGCCAAAAGTTGAGCTGGTGGGCTGCTGGTAGCCCCTTGCAGGAAGAGCCTGATAGATGCAGAATATGTCCCAGTTGATTGATGTGGTTCACAGCAGGTAGAAGCTCAGCTGGAGGGGAAATGTGGCAGGAGTGACCTCCTGGGTGGTTTGTGTCGGTGAGGGAATTGAGCGTGCAAAGCATCAATAAATGATGCAGTGCTCTAAATGCAAAGTGCCTCTGGTTTATGAATTTGCATGGCCAAACTAGGGGGGTCCAGATAGATGCTGAGCTCCAGGACGGCTGGCTCCTGTGCAAATACTTAGCAGAAAATAAAAACCTTGCAGCAAGGAGCTTGTGATTTAAATAATTTAAACAGACAGTACATGTGCCACGCATAGGAAAGAGGGGAGTCCAGTTTTGAGTGCTGAGGCACTGTGCAAACCAGTGCCTGACCTCTTATAGAGAAACTGCTGGAGTTTGTATTTTGAGAGAAGAAATCTCGTTCTTGATGTAATGCCCATAGGTTGAGTTAACAAATCTCCATGAGGGATGTACTTTGGCACAGCAGGGCGACCTGTGCATGTGGTGGATAAAGTCGTGATGGTGGATTTGCTGCCTGTGTCTCTCTGCCTGCCCTGGGTGTAGGCACAGGCTGTACATGCTGCCTGTCAGCCCTTCCATATGAACAAAACCATAGGCTCCATAGGCCTATAGTGCCATAGTCTCTGTCCCGCAGCCTGCCTCAGGCGAGGAGACCCCTGCGTGTGGCTCCTGGGGAGGGGGAGAAGTGCAACTTCCCCCGAGGACGGGCTGATGGTTGGTTAGGGATACAGCCGAGATCCGGTGTATCATGTTTTGTTTAATTTATACCTCTGCTCAGGGTACCTTATTAAAGTTGTAGAGATGGTGGAAATAGTCTCCGAGTGCTGCAGGGAAGGTCTCCTGTGAGTTAGGACAAACTTGCTCTCACCAGCACGTTGGCTGCCACGTCCTGTGCAAGCCCCTGCTGTGGTTTGGGTGCTGGAACAAACATCGTATCAATGGTCCTTGCTGCAAATAAAAAGCCATTTCCTTCAGGGCACTGAGACTGTAGCACTGGAGATAAACACCCTGTGGAGCAGTTGGCCATTCTCACTGTTCCTTTCTCCCACATTATTTTGTCCCCACTGGCGACATTTAAAATTTAACAGATGCTTGTGTCCACCTTGTGCCCACCCTGCAGAATCCAGCCCATAAACTGGGCTATTTATTTCTCCAGCCAGCTACACCAACCCCTTTTTTTAAGCACCCTGGGTAACCCAGACCTGCAGCGCTCAGCTCTGCTTTCTCCTCTGGTTGCAGTTTTTGCTGGGGCGCTCTGGGTTGCCAGCTGGGCGTTCAACCTGTACAGAGGAAAAATTCAACGCTGGGTCTTTATTAAACACTGTCACTTATTTTGATTACGGATAACTCCTTTATTTCAAACAGAACCGTTCATTCACTGCGAAGTTTTTTCATGCCTGTTGGAAATAGTTAGCGTTAAAAAAAAAAAAGGAAATAGGCTTGGATACATGCAAATCATACTGAACGTTGCCAAATGTATTAAAATGAGTAGCAGAGTTTCTTCTAAGTTACCTACTTGTGTACAGAGGAGAAACAACCACCGACAGTGGGAAGCCCCTCTGGTTCTCCAGCCAGCTACACCAACCCCTTTTTTTAAGCACCCTGGGTAACCCAGACCTGCAGCGCTCAGCTCTGCTTTCTCCTCTGGTTGCAGTTTTTGCTGGGGCGCTCTGGGTTGCCAGCTGGGCGTTCAACCTGTACAGAGGAAAAATTCAACGCTGGGTCTTTATTAAACACTGTCACTTATTTTGATTACGGATAACTCCTTTATTTCAAACAGAACCGTTCATTCACTGCAAAGTTTTTTCATGCCTGTTGGAAATAGTTAGCGTTAAAAAAAAAAAGGAAATAGGCTTGGATACATGCAAATCATACTGAACGTTGCCAAATGTATTAAAATGAGTAGCAGAGTTTCTTCTAAGTTACCTACTTGTGTACAGAGGAGAAACAACCACCGACAGTGGGAAGCCCCTCTGGGAAAAGCTTCCCGGTGCAGTGATAAATGAAGAGAGCCAAAGAGATGACCAAAAGTCTGACTGCGTTTGCACCCGGAAAAAGCAAAGCCCGAGAGTTGCTGCTGTGAGCCAGGAAAGCGATGCTGTAAAGCTGGTTGGGTGAAGCGCTCTGAACCGATAGAAAGGGGCTCCCTCTTAGCAAAGGGAGTCACGTCTGGTCCTTTGAACGTAAGGGCGAGGAAGTTTTTCACACTTTCCTGCCCTCCCCCAGGTTTAGGATCAAAGGAAATTCTGGTTCAAAAGCCAAAGTGCACGTTCCAGCGCTGCTGCTCTGGGATGATCCATTTTCCATCAAAAATAAAATAAAATCAAAATCACGTCTCTTAGTAAAAGCCAAAACAACACTTTAGAAACAAAGCACTTCTGGTCTGCGGGGCGGTGGATGCAGCCAAGTGACCCAACAGCCTTTCTGAGGCTTTAAGTCTCCAGCTGGCTGTGTTTGCCCAGCCCTCAGTGGCAGTGATACAGGGATGAACCCTGGGATTATTTTTTCTTTTATAAACCTTCAGCACTGTGGTCTCTTTTGTCAGCAACGGCAATGAGCCTGACCTGAGCCCCGGCTCCAGATTTTGCAGATCGCTCCAAAATGGATCAAATGCTCCCAGTGTTGCTGGTGCAAGGTCCAAGTACCACATTAAAAGCTCTGGAGTTATTACAGCAGCATGGCTGATGGGGAAACTGGATTTTACATCTGAATAAATACTGGGCAGGCACAAGTGCCAGCCTGATTTTGGTAAGGCTGGAGGGCGAGAGCGGCGTCCAGGCACGCTGCGGGCTGGGATTTAGCTTTGCACCAGGAAAGCAAAGCTCTCCCTTTGGGCTGGCTCACAATATTAAGAGAAACACCCCTGGTTAGCGTGTGATCCGACTTTAGTTGTATCTCAGCAGCTATGCTATTCATCAGCAACTCCTGAAGTCAGGATTGGAAAGGATTTAAGGTTTATCTCAGCGGCCGTCCTCTTTGGGGCGACTGCTGCCTGTCCGTTGTGCGTGGGAGAGCAGCTGGGGTCTGCCCAGACCCAGCGCTAAGGAAGGGGAGCCTTTCCCTGCAGAGTCTGGGCACCTTTCTTCTCCCCTTTTGTGCTCTTCTAAGGGCCTTGTATTACACCACTTTGGAGATGCATTTTTGAAAGGTTAAAAGCATAGCACGTCACTAATGTTTAAAAATACCTGTCTGGCTTTTACAAAATACAAGTATTCAACACGATCACCTTTATGTGTTCTTTGAAAAGAAAAAAGTTGACATTCATCGTATGGGAGGAAGGCAGCAGTCCAGGCTCCCGAAGCATCCCACCACGTGAACTGACCCTCCGCCAGGACCTCCGATGCTGAGGTCTCTGTTTTCAGTCATCCTTGCTCAACGCGCACACCCAAGAGCCACAGAGCCGGACATCATGTCTGCGGCGTTGCAGCACCTTGCTCTGAGTTGGGGACTTCCCCAGCCTCAACTGTTCTGTTCATCTGCTGCAAGCTTATGTTGTCAGTCTTGCCTGGTCCAGCTTGCAGGTCCTCCTGGCTCTCGGCCAGGCCATCTTGGCTCTCCAAATCGCTTACCTGGCCCTCGCCAAACTCCAGAATGGTTGGCAAGTTGCCTTGCTTTGGGCATCGCCTCTTTAGGCTGACCAAGAAGGGTTGTGGCAAGGAGAAGATGTCCACGTTGTTGCCAAGGTCAATCCAGGTGATGCTGGGGAACTTCTTGGGGTCCTTCAGGGTTTCGGTGAGGTCCCTTAGGATGGCTTTGGTGAGCCGGTTGCCATTGAGGGAGAGGGTGGTAAGGTGGGGCAGCACGCAGAGCGCTGGCAGCAGCTGCAGCAGCATGTCGTCAGTCAGCTCCGTGAAGCACAGCTCCACCGTGTCAATGTGCTCCGAGCTGTGCTGGAGGTAGGATGTGACACGGTCCAAGTCTTTCAGCGTCAGCGGGATGCCTGACAAGTCCACTGTGTTGTCCTGAGGCTTCCCCATCAGGACAGCTTTCAAGCTGTAGGGGAAGAAAAGGAGAAGGACATTAATGTGGGGGCATGTCTCTGCTTGGTGGCATCACTTTGGGCTCCCTGGCTGCTCTCGGAAGGGGCAAGTACATGAGTTATTTAGATAGGATGTTCAACTGGGGCTAACCATCTCTTCTGTAGAGGCCAGGAGTGTGCCTGTGCAGCTGGGGGGCAGAGAGACATTTCAAGGCTGTTTCTTGACAGAAGATGGCCAGAGGCAAGGAGGCCACATTAAAAAATGATAATTCAGAAAGAGTGCAGAGTTCTTTTCTACAGCCACTGTAAAACCCTGGAATGGAGAGGCCATCCTGCTGCTTTTAAAGGTGCAAACAAGGGTGAGGAAGCCCTTGATTAGACGGACAGGAATTGCTGGTGCTGGTGTAGCACTTCTCATACTGCTGATAATGAAGCTCTTTGAGCAGGAGGACACATGTTTGTCCTCTTGGCTCTAGAGGTGGGAAACTGAGACCCCAAGCCTGAATGACTTTAGCCCAAGACAGCAAATGTAGGCTAGACACCTCCAGGGTTGGGTGATTCGATCTAGTATTTACAGTGTGTTAAACTATTATGTCTCTTCAGTCTAGCTGCTGAGGAGATTAGCACTATGGAGAAATCCTTGGATAAATAAATTAATTCTCATGATGGCCCTACAGAGACTCATTGCCATGAGCTAGACTGGAGTTTCACAGGTCAATGTATTGTCTGAAGTGAATCAAAGAACACATCTACAATGAGGACCTGTCAGCAGGCTAGCATTGCTGAGGACTTTTTGCTAATGAATTATTCGGAGTGATTAGCAGGTGGAAGGAGCCTCATGCATGCTAATTGCTAATGTCAACTTGGTGAGCTTACATGTCTCATCTGCTGTGGTGGCATACGCGTTAGCCAAACCAGCCAGCTGCAGAAATGCTTTTGCCTCTCATTGCAGCCAGGGAATCGTTCTGCCCAGCACCTGTTGCTTTTTCCAGCTGAAAATGCAAACCAGCACTAACACAGCTTTTCTTAGCTGCTGAGCAAGCCCACCACCTCCACTGCACAGATGCTCAAGTGCATCTGCTCTGGTGCCAACGCACCTTGTGTGAAATTTGTCTTGCACAGCACTGTAAGATGTTTTACAGCCAGTCCCACAACACGCCCCCCCAAGCCGCGAGCCGTTTGTGATCTGGGGGTGGGTGCAAGCAGCTGGTGAGCGTTGGGCTTCTCCCCCGAGGAGTTACAGAAGTAACACAGCTAGAGAGTTGTCAATTGTGCTGAGCTTTAATGTGTAAATAATGCACATGGACAGACAACCTTGCAAGAAGTTGTGAGCTCCCCAATAGACTTTGGGGGAAAAACTTAGAATAGAGGCAGGGTGGAAGGAAATGAAGGTTATATGAAGTGCCAAAGCATTTTATTGTTGACTGATCAATACCCGCGTCCACCACCAGGGTATGAGGAGTTTGCCACAGCCACTTGATGTACTGCAGACCTGCAAGCCGAGGAGGAGTGAAATTCCTGCAGTCCCTACGGAAATAAACCCCCAAAAATGCATGGGGGTGTGTACTTTCCAAAATCATCATCACCAGAATAACTTTCCTAGATAATCCCAGGAAGGCTGGAATTGCAATGACCTACAGTGAAAGCGCTTGCTTCAAGCCAGAGTGTCTTGAGGTGTTAGGAAAGGGCCAGGGAGAGCAGAAAGCCTGGATCAGCCCAGCAGCAGATGGGGATGTGCCATGGGGTGTGTCCCCCATGAAGGATGGCACTGGCAATGCATGCATGCATGGGCATGAGCCAAGTGCTCTTAGTTTGACTGAGTACCTGTAGTCATCAGGAGGGCTGTAAGATTTGGGAGCATGGGGGTTGTACAAGGTATTGTGTGGATGATGATCTGCCACGTGTCTGCTCTGCCAAGGGTCCGGAGCTATTTGCAGTGCCCTACTTGTCTGTCTGTCACAGCCCCCTGCGATATCAGCTGCCTGCCTTTGAGTCAACAGGCAGCGATTTCCAAATCACCACGGGAGGCCACCTTGTTTGGTGGGGCAACGCAGCTGATGCGGTCAGCAAGGCTTAACAGGACTTAGGTTGGTTTTAGCAGCAAATACAGAACAAGCTGTGGCAGGGCTGCCCTGACGTCCTGCCTGCCATCAGGTACACGCACGTGTGCCAGTTGAGAAAGCAATTGCCTTTGCACTTGGGGTTAAGCTGTTGGCCAGATAGCGTAATGCTGTGGAGGACTTGGGGCCAAGATGTGTGTCTGCTATCTCCTCTGAGCGTGTTTTTCCAAGCTGCCCATGAGAGCTGACTGCCCAGAGCCTGTTATTTCAAACTCCAGAGGTCCATGCCCATAGGGTGTGTGCCAGTTAAACAAAAGAGTCTCCAAATCCAGAGCTACTCTTCTGCTCTCTTGAATGGCACAAAAGCGATGAATGGGCTGCCCATAGCCACTGGTTGGCTATGGAGACCTGGCTATGACCCAGGCGAGCTGGGGTGAAAGCAGGCAAACTCCTGGGTGCTGGTTTTAGACCAGAAGCATCTCACAAATCCCGACCAGGTTGTGATGGGGAGGCTGGGAGGGCTGAAAGATCTCTTTTAGAGTTCCCTTGGTGATGCTGGATTATGCTCCATGGTCTGTTTAGCAACATTTTGTTCTTGCTCCTCCTTTGAAGATCTTACTACATGGAAGTAATGGATGTAGATAAGCACTGGGATTAAAGTCAACTTCCATCTCGAGGCATGGCTAAACACTAGGAAAACAAGCTCTCTTCCGAGTTTCAACTTGCACTTGAGCTGTGGCTTTCTGATATTGCACTGTGGCAGAAAGGGAGGTAATTTTGCCAAGCCTCCTGGGCTAGAGCCGGTACCAAAATTGGAGCTGGATGCAAGAACTGTGCAAAAAGCCTTGATCATCACCTGCCTCTTGTACCGCAGTCGTTTCACATGAACTAATCGTTTTCAGGGAACATCTCACAGGAAAGAACTAAATTGGGGTTTTTTATTTGTAGTTCCATGAGCCCTTTATGGGCTCACGTGGCCCAGTGCAACTCTCCTGCTCTATCAGAAAGGCATCTGCCTCTTGTGCTGCGAGCAAAATGACTGAATTTTACCTAAACTAGGCTGTGCAGTGTTAAGGTCTCCTTAAGGAAATCAATTTTTCCCCCACTCTTCATGCCCCAGCAACTGCTCAGCTGCTCTGTGTGTTATTCAGGGATGTTCTGTTTGAAGAGATGAGCTTGTCCTGGCTGCGGTCGCTGTGCTGGGGCGGGGGGGCGTTGCTGTGGGCTGGAGCAGATGTGAGCCAGGCAGGAGGGGAGAGACCAGGAAGGGCATTGCGGGATCTGGGAAGACAGCGAGTCTTCCCCAAAAATGCCTGAATGGCACTAGCCCAAATGGCAGCTGCGTGAATTAATTTCTCATCCTTAAAAACGTGGGTTTGTGCAGCAGTTGGCCAATTTCTTAACCACCATTAAGAGGAGCGATTGACTTTTTATTAACCTTCTAATTCTAAGTAGCCGGGAGACCCAAGGGTAACATTGATCCATCATTCTGACTGCAGCCCTGGCATAAAGAAAGTGTTGGGATTTGGCGTTGGGCGAGCGAGCTGGGGCAGCTCAGCAAGCGCTCTCTGCTGTGACCACGTGTGTTCCATGGCTTGGGGCAGGGTCCGTCAGGCCCTGGGCTGTGGGAGCTCATCCCTGCACCACAAACCCAGCAGGCCTCAAGAGGAAGCCACGGGGAGAATGATGAACATCTGGGATGTCTTACAGAAATATCACTTGTTTCTTAATTTGACATGTAGCCCTACCTACGAGGCTGTGCCAGATCATGAGAAATGTCTTGTCCATTGCGGGGGGGGGCAAGGAGTGGAGAAAAAAAATCCATAATGGAGTCTCAAGAATAGAACTCGGGAGCAAAGGGATGTATCCAGCATGGTTAGGCAGGACTCTCAGGAGATGGGTGATTGCAGGAGGGGCAAGATCTACAGGAGCGGAACCAAACCAGCTGGAGGCAGAGGGGAAGACATTTCCTTCTGCATACGGCACCAGGAGCAGAGAAACCAGAAAGCGGCGGCATGCTGGGCTTTTATGGGTGTATTATTTATTTAATATGTGGTTTTGCTTCTCCAGCTCGGATGCATTCCAAGAGGGTCGTTCCTCTGGCTTTGTGGGAACAGCTCTAGCTGATACAAACGGAAGCCCTGGCACAGAGCTGTGCTCCTGCAGGGTCCTGTGCCGCCGAGTGGGGTTTTTGGGTTAAAACACAGCATCCCTACACAGAGACAGGCAGCCTGGTGGGAACCATAAGCACAGCTGGGTGCTCCAAGTCTCTGCACTTGCTTTGGGCATCCTTGCAAGAGATCTGTGATCTGAAGAGAAGAAACCAAAGCAGTCTGATGGATGAGCTGCCCTTCGCTAAGTGTTTTTACCGTGAGCTAAGTGGGCTGGGGCTTTACTGGTAAACAGAAGCCCCAGCCTATAATTAGCACCCACGGCAGGCTCTGAATCTGTGATTTAGGCCCATTCAAAGGCACACCAATCTGACTGGAAATCTTTTTTTTTTTTTTTTTTTTTTTTAAAAAGTTGAATCATTAAGTGTGTGCCTGCAACTTATTAAACACATCAGCCACCGGTTGGGTTGGGGTGGGAGGAAAGGCTAATGAGAGCTGCTGTTACTGTTTATTATTATCTGCACGTTTCAGTTGCTGTTTTGCCCTGGGAAAGATTATTCACGCAGGCTGCTTAGCAAAAGGCTGGCCAGACAATTTCTATAATTTTAATCTTCTTGTAAATTTTGGTGCCTTGGTGCAATTAGCACCTTCCCATCTGGGCCCCTCGCAGCCGTAAGATGCAGTGAAGCTGGGATGCATCTGCTACAGCCCTCTACGTCCCCTTAAAACTAAAACTGCAAAGAGGAGAGGGGTGTGATGGGTAATGCTACTGGTTACTGCATTTATTCCACGCTGTGAGCTGGGCTGTGCAAAGGGGCTGGAGGAAGAGTCAGAGCTTGGGCT